TTGAAGGTGTAATTAATCAGATTTGTGCACTGTGTTTTTTCTGCTGATTTGGCTAATATTTCTCTCAGGTAAAAGAAGACCAGGTTGAGAGAATGGCTGCAACAAGATCCTTATCCAATGGCTTCTGTGACCTTTCAAAAGTACAAGACGCTGTCCTGGAGAATGTAGAACATGTCGGAAAAAATGAGGAAGATGATGGAATAAAAGGGGGCAAGAGGGCAGGTTTGAAGTGAGGGACAAGGTACACCAGGAGGATGAATGTTAAGAAAAAATTGCTGACAAAGGAAAGGTTGTACATGGACTAAAAATGTCCAAAATGGTAAAACATTAAGCTTTTAAGGGTCTTAAGTTGATGAGTAGTTGCTGGTTAGTGTGAGTTTAATGTGAGACCAGGGGTCTGTCCCAATACCCACACTTGCAGTCTTGGCCGCTTGAGAATATGTGACCCTGCAGCACAAAAGCAGTCTTAAGTCGCTGGGGTATATTTGTAGCAATAGCCAACAATACACTGTATGGGTCAAAATTATACATTTTTCTTTTATGCCAAAAATCATTAGGATATTAAGTAAAGATCATGTTCCATGAAGATATTTTGTCAATTTCCTACCGTAAATATATCAAAACTGATTTTCTCAATATTTAGATTTTTTTGCACCCTCAGATTCCAGATTTTCAAATAGTTGCATCTCAACCAAATATTGTCCTATTTATTCAGCTTTCAGATAATGTATAAATCTCAAATTCAAAAAATTGGCCCTTATGACTGGTTTTGTGGTCCTGGGTCACATATGTGCTTGTGACAGGAAGTAGGTGCGTGAGACTGTCCCAGATCTGAAAACTGCCGAAGCTCAAAACACACGAAATCTCTAATAGCACTTCAGCGTAACCATCACTCATCATGTTCAGGAACGCATTTGCCCTGAAAATGTGATATTTTGCGAACCTTCCATTGTAAGTAAGACTAATTAGATATTACATATAATTTGGTAGTAAAACATAAAGTGTTGCACATTTTATTGGTGCAGAGATGAGTATGTGTATTTTGTAAAATACTGCTTTTTATCTCTTAATTAAAAACACCACAATTAAATTGTGTCGTCTGTTACATAAGGATTACTGAACAGACATTTAGAGGTTTATTTTAAAGTGCAAAGTATCGAAAATCAACAGGTGCAAATAAAACGCTGTAAAAAGTGTGTCCTAGCGGGTAATCAAACATTCTACACACTTTCAGTCTTCCAGAGATGGCAAAAGTACACACATCCTTCACTCAACACTCTTAAAAATAAAGGTGCTTCAAAAGGTTCTTCAAGCGATGCCATAGAAGAACCATTTTTGGTTCCACAAAGAAGCATTCAGTCAAAGGTTCTTTAAAGAACCATCTCTTTCTTACCTTTTTAGAATCTCAAGAACCTTATTTCGCCACAACGAAAGAAAGGTTCTTCAGATGTTAAAGGTTCTTTATGGAACCATTTAGACAAAAAGGTTATTCTATGGCATCGTGAAGCACCTTTATTTTTAAGAGTGAAGTAGAAGCACAGATACTCAGGTTTAAAAAGACTCTGGTAAAATTACTGACTACACTTTTTTACTCAAGTTAAAGTAAAGAAGTATGGGCTCTGACATGTACTTAAGTAAAACCTAGCCATTACTACCTGTTTTAGTGCCACGCTGGTAACTGGACCTCACATCATATTAATACATTAATACAAAAGAACTTACAATTCAAATGTTGTTAGTTAATGAATGTATGCAGGCTGAACAACCGCCATGTAGAACACAAGCAGAGAAAAGACTTTGACTACCGTTGACTAGATTGTAGGGTGATTCTGCCTCTTGTTCTTGGAAACAACTCAGCATTATTATGATGCTTTAAAATGACAAAATTGAGGTGAGTTATACTGTACATTTTATTGAAATGCAATCAAAGACTATTAGAGTGCAAGCATAATTTACACTTGTTTGCTCTGTTAACATGCAGGAGGCCCTTTAACTATAAATCATTAGAAATGTCTAAGGTTTTATTATAAAATATTAAATTATTATGATAAAAAAATCTGTCACAGTAATTTTGTCAGGAAATCTTATGCATCCACTGAGAGAAAAAATAACTCCTGTACACTTCTCTACACTGGAGAGAAACCTATGGATATGAATGTTCTAACTTCTTTAGAGAAAAGTGTTATTTTTCCTATTTTTACCCAAAAATAGGGCGTTATGAGCATTAGTGAGTAATCACGAGTAATGTCATGTCTGCTTTATTCATACTGGCAGGGTAGCTGAATAAAATGCAGATAGAGATGCTTTACCTGATGAAACATCCATACAATAAACATACGACTACGACAATATATCGTTTATCTGTGTTCTTCAAGCCACCTCATGTATTTTTATAAAAACAGCAGCATGAAAACATTATCACATAACTTAGAAAATCCATTTAGTGTCCAAAAACTAGTGGGAAAATGTACACTAGAGAGGAGAATTTTGCAAAAATTATGTTTATAATAATTTTAATCATATAATTACTGTTTTTATTAGAATGAATAAAAATGTATAGATATAAAGTTATTATAAAAATGGTCTAATATGAAAAAAAAAAAAAACTTCTAACCTTAACAATAGGATTCCCTGCATAGTTTAGTTTATAAAAATTGAGAAAAAATATATACTTAATATATACATATATACTTAATAGCAAGCTTGTTAATTATTCCCGAATTCTCACTCATGGCTGAACTCAAAAGTTGGAAGCCCTCTTTGAAGTAAGTTGAAGTTTTAGGGTTCCTGAACAACATTTACAAAATCCACTGTGTAAGTTAATGTTAGATCTTTTGCTCCAATCGCTGGTTAATCAGTTCCAATAGACTAGCATTTGAAGTTACGGTATAGGAATGTATAGCTAATGTGGAGTTATGTGAAGTAATCAGTAATCATAGGATTTCAGTTTTTTTAATGACAGGTTGGAGTTACACTGATTTTCTGTCTTGGTCTATGGACCCCCTGAATTGTCTCACTTTAGTACCCCGCTTACATACACTGGTCATCTAATTTCATTAAACCATGAACACACATTTAAAAAGAGAATCTGTGTACTCGTTCTAAATTCACAGTATAACAATAAATAGTGTAAGATATCTCATGCACAACACACTTAATTAGAAACTCTAAGCATAAATCCCTTGCCCTGTGTGTGATAACCAGCACTAATAATCACCGTACTGCTTTCAGAGAGACATAATCGCCAATAGCTGAGCACAAAAAATAATAATACACATTTATCTTCTAGAATTAATAATTTCGGACTTCCCTGTCCGTGCCTGACGACAGTATTAATTGGCTTTTCAGAGTGAAACAGTTCTAGCAGCTCTAGTCTTTACTGTGCATTCATATAGTACAGTATTTCTCTTCAAAGACACCTCTCTGGGCCATTATCATGCAATTCAGTGTTCAACACTCCAGACAACTTTTCTCGAAGGATTCTTGATCCGTTCTTTGTGGCATGCACCTGGTCTCTTAATATCTCTTACTATCTGAGAGAAATAGAGACTGAGCTAATTGCCTGACGGAGGCCAGCTATGCGGTTCATGACAGCAACCTCTGCATTATACTGCATATGAGTTCTCTCTACCACCAATATTAAATTAAGAATTTTGATTACATCATTCTGCATTTCAGCTTCTCATCAAACTTTCTGTCCAATTGAATGCGAATCTGTAGAATCCAAAAAAAAGGTAACTACACCTTTACTATAATAAAACCATGGTTCATTTTCATAAAGGAAAGAATCAAGAAAAATTGTGCTTCAACTGCTGACAGTCTTTCTGAACCATGCAAAAAGAGACAAATTGGACAAAATATCAGCACTGCTGGGATGCCGCTCAGCTATATATTTAAGTTATAATATGTGACCAGCTCCGTCATTTAGAGTCATTCAAAGCCAGAAACACATTTTGAGTTCGATGCATGGAATGACAAAATAATGTTCTTTTTAGCACCCCTTTAAATAAAAGGGGAAACGGCCTCAAAAGATTCCAAACGATTTTTAGGTTTTTGTACAGAATAATTCATGCAAACAAGCACTGAGGATAGGCTACCCTTGTATTTATGATAACTTGCATATGTTGTTGCTCTCCTGTATAATTCTTATTTCCATTATGTGACAGACATCATAGTCATTATTACTGAACGCTTCAGCAGAGCTCCCAGTCAAAAGAGAACATGCATCATGTTTCGTTTTACCGTAAATCATCGTGTATCGCCTGGTTTTTAGCGTCGTATCGAGCTCGGACTCTACGGGGAGGAACCCTCTAAACTAATTATTAAACGCCTCGATTAACATCCAGCAACATGTATTTGGTTTTTTGAACATAAGAGGATCAAAACAGTGAGTTCTGCCAGAACAGTCTTCTTTTTCATATTATCAGGGCGACGCAGGACGAGAAAAACCATTATCCTTCATCTGCGTTTGCACGGTGTTCTGTGATGCCATTAAAGAGTCATTGACTTCTAATATGCAGATGGATTGTACTCGAGTATTATGTAATATCTGACGCTGTTAAAGGCTGTATGTGGAATGTTTTTCCTGATTTAGGCGCTCATCATGGAGTTCGGGAATATGAGTGCGCGTTTATTAGAAGGATTGTGAGCGCGAGTGGAAAGTGTTCTGAGGCTCTTCTGTACGTGGCAGCGACTAAAATCATTGCAAAACAGCTGAAATAAAGCGGGGGAGACTCTGTCAGACTGCTTCAGTAGGGCTGTCCCTTCACACGATCACTCTTTCCACTCAAACCGAGGTAAGCGCTGTTACAGTTCAACCATTTACGCCGACTGTTTGATTTGTAAGTCAGCTTTCAGATGATGTATAAATCTCAGTTTCTGAAAATTTACCCTTATGGCTGGTTTGGTGCTCCAGGGTCACAAATGTGTTTTTTGGTCCTCTGGTCATTTCTTTGTCGTTTTTCTATGCTACAATTTTGCCTTCTCCTTTCACAGGCCAAATGACAGACCTGATATTTGCAGAGAGGGAGCTTGTCCAATCCCTGAAAGAATACATTGAAGCAGAAGAGTTGAAACTCGAAGCTGTGAAGAGGTGAGTTTTTCACTAGAATATATGTCTGCACATGAACCAGTGACTCATCTGTGTTTTTTTTTGTCCATCTGCTGGCTTCAGCTGGGCTAATAAACTGGATATGTTGACCCATGCATCCACGTCGGACCCTGAAGGCTTCCTGGCTCACCCGGTGAACGCCTACAAGCTGATGAAGAGACTCAACACCGAGTGGTCCGAGTTAGAGAGTCTGGTGCTGCAGGACCCGTCAGATGGTACAGTATATCAGCATTCATCACAAGTCATGGAAGATTCAACTTTGAGAAAATTGTAATGGGGAATGTTAAAATCAAAAAATGGTCAGGATTGGACAGTAGATTCATGATAGTTTAATGTTTTTTGACACTATAATTTTGTGGTATTTTTAATTTTTTTTGGCATTAATTTTTCAGCTTCCTTTTGAGATATGACAAGCGTTTTAGGCTGAAGCAAATGTTGAACATGTTTGAACTGGTGTAAGGTAGAGTTCCCAGACCTGGCAAAAAAATAAATACAAGTAATATCCTAATAAGTACTGTATATAAAATGTTGTATACGTTATCTGTACACCGTTTGTAATCATTAAGAATTTTTTGAACGATGTTGCATTTATTTGATTGAAAAGACAATGAAATGTATTCTTTTGAAATACTATTACAATTTAAAGAACTGTTTTCTATTTAAATATATTCTATTGCATTCTTTATTACATTCTTCACGTTTACATATGTTACTTTCAGAAACTTAAATAAACACTTGATGTTTGATGTTCTCTGTATCTTAGACATTTCCATATCATGGCATAATGAATTAATAACTCCAACTGCTATAAATATATCCATCTTTATCCATATTCATACAGTATACGCACATAAAGCAAAATATACTATATAGCAAATCTCAAATGCTTGATAGTTTTTATATGGCAATGACATAAACAATCCTATCGCCTAGCTCTAAACTGCAAAATGTGGACTATTGATGATTTTCTGTAAAGCTCCTTTGAAACAATGTGAAAAGTGCTATGCAAATAAAATTGAGTTTTGTGTAGTGAAATGTGTGTGTGAAGTCATCGCAGACGCTCATTTATTTTCATTGCCTAATGTGAACTTGTGTGAACATGTGTTGCAACATGTTGCCACGTGGAGTTCTTGAGAATGTTTCCACTTAAATGAAAGTCATGCAAGGGATGATAATGTACAGTCATTGTCACTGGAAATAATCAGGACCCCAACATGATGCTGATTATACATACAAGTATATAAAATACATAGAGACTTAAGGTATAGTTCACCCAAAAATTTATAGTTAAACTTTCATTATTAAAAAATATTTAACCACATGATACTGCTATTATCCAATGAGAATCATGCACTCCAAAGCGCTGTGTCTTTATAATAAGGGATTCTCATGCCTTAAGTCATGTGTATTAAAAAGCTCTTATTTTTTCTTTTCTTCTGAAGGCTTCATATCAAACATGTCTGTGCACAGACAGAATTTCCCTGATGAGGAGGACGAGAAGGGAGCAGCCAAAGCGCTCATGCGTCTTCAGGACACGTATAAACTGGACTCGGAAAGTTTCTCCAAAGGCAAACTGCCAGGTCAGAGGCAGCACTCTGGTAACTCTTGTTTTCACACTTCTTTGTTTTCATTTTGAGTCCTTCAGTTAAAGACACTGTGATAAACAGAGACTGTCATTGCAACACTTTCAAAAGAGGAACAAATCAAATACATCCTTACTATCAGTGAGACTTAAATAGAGTTTTTTGCTGCTGAGGCAGTAGTTTTGCATTCTATTTGTAAATGCATGTGCTTAATTTAGAATTTGTATTTTTTTGTCATTTTGAAATTGGAATGGTACCTTGATTTGGTAATTAGGGGCCAAGCATCAATGGGTAGGGCCAATAGACGATGCCAGTGCAATGCATGCTTTCAATTTCCACGCAGTTAATTCAAAAAAAAAAAAAATTCTGATTAGGTAACAATAAATTAATGAAGTTGTTCCTGATCACAATGTAAATTACATTTAAAACAGTTAAATTAACAATTTAAACCGTAAAGATTTTATTGTGCAAAAAACGCCAAACCAATTATGGGCTACTAGATGTTTTAAATCAAGTTAGTGGGTCTTCTTCTTCATCAATAGCCATTTCCTGTCGGTACATCAACATCTCTGTACAACTTTTTTGATCAGCGGCTGCTGTAGCTGCTCTTTTCCCAAGGAGTCTGCCCAGTAAACCCTTTTTCTTAGGCGCAGGAGATTTTCCTTTCTTCTGTTTTCCAGTCATGTATACTCTCCCACAATGCCTCTTCCAGGTTGTCGGTCGTATGGCTTTCTGGCATGAAGCTTGTTTGTAAGCATTTCGATTCCAGTGTCCACTCTTTGCTGACATAATGTGTGGTCACTGACTGCATGATCTGCGGTCTTCCAGAAGAATTTCCGACCTGGCAGCTCACACTGCTTGTCAAATGTTTGCAGCATGGCCTTGAATGTGCTCTTCTCTACCGTATTAACAGAAACCATTTCTTTTGCTAGGTAGCGAGTTACAGCATCAGTACACTGCTTCCATTTTTCACTGTCACGCTTGAACTTTTGGCAAAAATCCCAGATATGGTTGATTTTTCCCTAGCTGTTTTGCCAAGTTCAGTTGTGTGTGATGGCATTGTGCCAAAACCGAAATTGCTGATGAGATGAAGATGAAAATATCTAGTGGAAAACGAGACTGTTGCATTTTTAATGATATAATTATTTTCATTGTCTATCGCGCGAGATGTTTCATTGTTGACAGCGCCCGACACTAGTAGGTAGGCACCTATTGTATTTGTTAGTCGTCGTCGTTAGGGATGGAACGATTACCGGTTTCACGATAAATCACGATAAAATGCCCTGACGGTTAGTATTATCGTTTAAAATTTAATTATCATCAAAACCGTATTTGATTATCGCGATTTTGAAAACTCGCGGTAAATCCTGTCCAGCCAGCATCAGTCTGATGCAGAAGCAGCATGCAATGTTGTTGCTGTTTTTTGCACGAGACGAAATGGCATAAGGCAGCGACAGCGCTCGGGAGATTTTTCAGCCATTTAAGAGGACCAAATCGGTGGTCTGGTCGTATTGTCGTCTTCCTCTTCCTTCGCAATTGAGTCTATGGCAGCCCATAGAACAACTTGTGAGAAAGTTATGAAATTTGGCACACAGATAGAGGACAGCCCCAACATTAACCACAGCTAATTTGGAGTCTCTAACTCAAACCCTCTAGCGCCACCAACTGTCCAAATTTGCACTCATGTTTATGCGAATAACTTGTCATAGAAGTCTAGAAGCAAAATTTTTCTTCTGATTCTTCAGCTCAAGATGATTCGATTGCTTTGTCATTTTCAGTGCAGTTGCATGACATCATTTTCCATCATTCCATTTTGAATTTTCCAAAAAAAAAATTTTTTCGCTAAAATCTAACCAGATCATATTCAGACCATGCTGACAAAAAGTTATCAAATTCAAGTTGATTAGTCAAACTGTTCTTGAATAACGCATTAATACATTTTTTTTTAAAGGGCTCACCAAAGTGGATGTGAGGCTGTAACTTGGCAACTCTTTAGCATCTTGAGACCAAACTTGATGTTATAATAACCACGACCTAAGGCTACCTGCAGTTTTGGCACAGCACCACCTAGTGGTCAGGAAATATGAAAAATAGCTATTTTTGCTTGTATCTTCTAAACGGTTTGACCAAAAATGACAAGACTTATCTCTTTAGATTCAGACTAGCATACAGAGTTGAACCATACCCAATTTTCCCATTTTGAATTTTGTCATAAAATGTCGTATTTTGCGAAAACAAATTGGTGTATCGTTACAAAACTCGGATTGTGTCTTTGAAATTGCAGTATTTATTATACATGATTTATCTGTGTACATCATTAATTTGTAAAACATTCGTGTGCCCTCATAATTTTTAATCAAAATAATTTCCCCTCCCTCTTGCAACATTTCCTTTTGATTTAGTTTGTTGAAGTACTAAAATAACTCAAATTAAATAAACTGACACTAAAATAAAAACAACAAAATTACTAAACTTTAAAATTAATAAACTTTTTCATTGCTTGAAATAAAATAAGTATTAACTGAAATTATGTAAAATATAAAAAACCTACATTTATTTTATTTACAGTCTGACATTAATGACAGCTGGAGTCTCTCACTGTGATGTGGCTAATAGCTGGGATCAGCCTGACAAGCAACAGTCATAAAGGACTGTTATAAATCATGCAGCGTGCACTCAGCTTAAAGGAACACCTGGATGTAGTCTAATATAATACCCATACTGAAACCTGTGATAAACGACGTATCGTTCTGTCCACAGGGGTGCGCTACAACGCTCAGCTGACAGTGGATGACTGCTTTGACATGGGGAAACTGGCCTACAATGAGAATGACTACTATCACTCAGTGCTGTGGATGCAGCAGGCGCTCAGACAGATGGACTCGGGAGAAGACGCCAAGACGCCCAAAGCTGATATTTTAGATTATCTGAGTTACTCCGTCTATCAGATGGGTGACCTGTCACGAGCTATCGAACTCACCCGACGCTTGGTGGCCATCGGTAGGCCATCTCTCTCTCTCTCCCTGTTATGTTTGAACAGCAAATTGTCACTAGATGATCATTAGGAAATGTAATAGCCACATTAAATCACACAAAACTCTTATATGTATTACATGGAATTTAAGAAATATATCTGATGCAGTTTTTTTGCCTGTATTTCTCGACCATTGCAAATTGCATGTCCTGTGCTGTGTGTACTTGCAGATCCCAGCCACCAGAGGGCAGAAGGAAACCTGCGCTACTTTGAGCGGCTGCTCTCTAAGGAGCTGAGGGACTTGGGTCGGAGCCAGCAGGAGCCTGCGGACGAGAGGCCCATTCAGCTGGACACTTATGAGCGGCCCAAAGACTACCTGCCCGAGAGAGAGGTGTACGAGGCCCTCTGCAGGGGAGAGGGAGTCAAAATGGTGAGCGCAGCTTATATCCCAAACGCACAATGAGGCAATTATTTGCCCTTTTCACTTTATTGCTTTTGTAAGCCGTGATTATTTTGAGTCATTTACAGTGTCTCATGTTTTAAACTTTCATTATATTATATACTGGTCAAAATAATTAGGATATTTTTAATGTGTTTGAAAGAAGTAAGAAAGAAGTTTCAGTAAAAAACGTAATATTGTGAAATATTATTACAAGTAAAAATTTCTGTTTTGATGCTGATTTGCTGCTTAAGAAACATTTCTGATTATTATCAATGTTGAAAACAGTTTTTTTCTGCTGAATAGTTTTGTGTGAACTGTAATACACTACTGTTTAAAGGTTTGGGGTATGTACAGTTTTGCATTAAACAGGATGCATTCAATTGATCAAAAGTGACATTAAGACACGCACGCGCCTGGCCCGAAGTTAACTTCCGGTCTGTGTTTGTTTATCAGTCTGGCTATGAGTAGACTGAAGTTGGGCTCAGGTGGTTGTGCTGTGGGATGTTTCCCATACATTTATTTATTTGTGGCGGTCACCACAATATCAAAACTGACGGATTTTCCAAAAGGCTTGGTTGAATAAACATGAGCATGTACTGCACGTTTAAAAATCAAAACAAGGTGCGGGTGTCTTTTATATCGCTGTATTTCTGAAGGAAGACTATCTTTAGAAAATTTTCAATGTCATTTTCATTTCATCTTGCATGTTATATGCCTGATAAAGCAGCATTTGTGAGCTCAGCGCTGCTTTGTGTACAGCTGTTACTGGGGAAACCTTTGTTTTTGTTCCGTCCTCCATGCTGTGACAACTCACAAAAGACTATTTTTAACCAAGCAGTGCGGAGAGGCGCTTCAAAAACGTGCCGCGGCTGGCTGATAAACACAAGCACTGACTAGAGCGGCCGCGATCAGCTCCGGTGGCCGTGGAGCCGTAACGCGCCTCAGACGCGTGCAGTGAGGCGCAGATCAGCTCTAACGTCACTGAATCTGCTGTTAAAGGGGTCATATGATGCTTTTTTTAAAGATCATTATTTTGTGTATTTGGTGTAACATAATATGTTGACATGCTTTAATGTTCAAAAAACACATTATTTTTCAAATACTGTACATTACTGTA